CAGTACCTAATTTAGGGATCCTATTGGGGCTTAGATGTGAGCTAGGCACCCAACCATCAGAACTTACTGGAAACACAAATGCTCAGCAGGCATCCTGGGGACCATATCAGTAGAAATTTAGGCACCAAGGGAATTTAGGTGCTTACAGGATTTCCAGAGGTTTGGATCTAGTACTGAGTTGCATCTCCCAACAGCCTACATGTCTGATTTACAGCCCATTGCAAATCAGTGAAAGTCTTTCCATTGGCTATATTGGCCTTTGGATTAAGACATAAAATCCAGGTCTCACAGGGAATTTATATCAGTTGGAGTTAAGTGCTTAAATAATCTGGGCTTATGATCGTCTTTCATCATGCCATTTTCTTCTCTCTACCATTTTCTTTCCTCCCAGCCAACCAGGTATTTTATTCAACACAATTCCTATTCCAGCTCTTGTTCTCTTCAAATAACTGCTCCATTTCCTCTCAAACTTTTCCTCTCCTCACACCATTTGTGGTAGTCCCATCCCATGGTAATACCTCATCAGTTATCCCGCTTACCCTGACATTCATCCACCCCACCTCTTCAGACTGGCCACCACATTACACACAACTCATGCACTTCAGTTATCTCCGCGCTACTGGTGACTTGCACTCCACTCATGCGCTGTCACTCTGACACTCTCCCCCACCACATTTATCCTCTCATTCAATCCTTCACTGCTCCGCATCCTATCTTACTGCTTCCCAGTCCAGACATCATCATCTTCCTTGCCCTTGACCTGCAACGTGCTACTTCTTGTTCAAATCCCTATCCTGGTTGCCCCAACAAGTCAAAGCACATGTTAAATGTTTGTCTCTGCTTTAGAGACTCAGCATGTCTTTATCCCTGCCTAGAACTCTGCTCGTGATTCTTCTCACATCCTACCATACTCCTTTGCTTCTCCAAGGATGGCAGCCTGCCAGAGAGGTGCAAAGTAGATTCCCTGAGGCTAAGGATCTAGGTCTGGATCTTCATGTCTTACAGCAACAAATACAATGTTGGCACTTAAGAAATAATTATTGGCCTTGAAATTTACTAGATTAGAAGCCAGTATTGTATGTAGCCTGTACCTTCATATGAATGTTAATATTTTGAGGATGATTTCAGATTTTAATAGTAGGTATATGATCTCCCTCGATAACCACAGTAAGTGCTAGAATGCTCACTCCTCAAAATATGCATGACAGGCATATTTTACATGACTTTTTTCCTGGGGAGGAATGGATCCTTGTATCTTTGCAAATATAAAACTATATAAACTGAACTTGCAAAGATTACTTGTTGTCATGATCATAAGAGATGGCTAGCCTCTGGGGACTAAGGGGTTAACTATACCTAGTCCAGGTAGAGTTGGCCAATAGGAATGTAGGTAGGAATTTCAAACTGGGACAAAGGATTTTTCAGTTTTTCCCTCCTTTGTCCCTGAGTAGTTTCTCTCCAGCTACTGAGGGGGACAGACATCATGTCTGCCTCCAAGAAAAGACTCTTCACTACCTGTAAGTAGGATAAAGTTTAGCTAAATCTGTTTGGTTTTATTGTTTTATGGTTTGGGAATGGGAATCTGATGTCTGTGCATTAAAAAAATGGGTTTTCCTCTCATTTGCAACGAAAGTCTTGGCCCAGGGGGGAGTCCCCCCATGAGTATATTCCATCTAGTCATTATACTTGCAACAGGAATATTGTGGTGATAATAAAAGTTCTTTCTCTTTCTTTTTTATTAACCTGGTATTGGTTAAGTTTTTGTGTCCTGGTTTTTACTTTAGGGCTGAGATTTCCCAAGTGAGCTCTTCCCTGGTTTCTTATCATTACTTGGGTGGTGGCAGCAGATTTTTATCCCTAAAACTAGGTTTTTAAGATTTTGGGGGGAAGTTTTATACCAAAGGCTGGAAAGATAAGGATTTGGGGTACTTTTGCAGGCCCCCACTTCTGCATTTATCATGACTGAGTGGGGAAGGGGCCTTGACACTTGTATATGTACATTTTGTCATATTAGCAGTCCAGATTAAGTCCTTGAGACTATTCAGGTGCTTAAAGTTAGGCACAGGAATAAATAAATCCTTATAGGATCAGGGCCTTATTAATCACCTGACAAGTGCTTGAGTGGTATTAGGAAAAAATATTTGTAAAAATAAATAACTAGGATAAAATGTATGACCATAGTCAGATGCTCACACTTAGTCAATTTATACCATAGCTATAAATGGGTAGCTATGGTATAAATTTTCTTCTTAATGTCTGAGACATTCTGAACCCCTCCCTAAGATGAACAATACTATGTTAATATTACCCTTGTGGAAAAAATAATTTATTCTTTTTTCATTTGTAATAAAGATGTTATATTTTAAGAAACTAATAAGATGTTCTGATTAGTGCCATATGGAGAGTGCTTTGTGTAATGGACACCACAGCTACAAATATGAGACAGAACTACAGTAATGCTTCCTATTTATACTTGCAAAAAACCTAAATGAGCGTTTGTGTTTAGGGAATGTGGTAAACTACAAGATTGGCAGGGTTCCATTACAAGATAGTCTTCACTGCATGACCCACCCACTAACAGGAGAGAAATCTTCCTCTAAGGGATAGAATAGATGATGTCTCATGCAGCTTTTGTCACTGTTCGTGTAGATTACTGTGGTGTCTGCAAAAAAATATTTAGAAACAGAAAAATATCTGTTTTTTTTTTAATTTTTGGCAGGATTTTTAAAAGATAAGTCAGTTGCAGAGGGAAAGATAGAGAATGAAACAAATGCTACATAGTACTCCCCCCCCCCCCAAAAAAAGCTAATTATATTGAGCTAATTATCCTTTTAAAATGACAAAAAAGTGTTAAAACTGCTCCATTGCAAAGTGTTCATAAATGAAAAGCAAATCAATGTTTAGTCAAGTTTTGAAGGTACCGTTAATTTGCATTCATGGTGGGGCTAACTACAATTTATTCTATAAAAATGCCTATATTAGTGCAAGGGTCGACAACAAGCAGCCCACAGTTTGTCAGAGTTTAACCCCCAGCAGGCCGCCAGACACTTTATTTATCTGCACATCTGCAGGTATGACCACTTGTTGCTTCCATTGGCCACAGTTCGCCATTCCTTGCCAATGGGAGTTGGCCGGGCCATCACTTCTAGCAGCTCCCATTGGCCGGCCGGGAACACCAAACCGTGGCCAACAGGAGCTACAAGTGGCTGTACCTGTGGAAATATAGGTAAAAAAAAAGCATCTGGCAGCCTGCCAGAGGCTAACCCTGGTGAATCATATCCGGCCCACAGACTTCCTATTGCTTATCCTGTGTATTAGATGCTTTTTCCTCTAGTACATTTTATATATTTTTAAAGAAAACAGATTTATTATATTGGGGTTCTCCAAGAGAGAATGTCAGGCATGTTGGAATTTCGCTTTCATAAGGACTATTCCAAAGCCCACTGAAGTCAAATGAAGCCTTTCCATTAATGTCATTGGACTTTGGAGTTGACCACTAGTGTAAGTTACAGTTCTTAGGCAGTTCTTTAAAAAACTGTTCCACTCTCAAACAAGCAATATTGTTGTATGTTTGAGACTTCATCTATAAGTGATGCAAATCAGTGTAGCTTCTCTAATTGATGTAGCTCTATGTTAATTTTTATCATGTGAGGATCTGGACCAGTAGGTCAAATTTTCAGAATTGGCAACCTAAACTTTACCCATCAAATCTGCATTGTTCTTAATGGGTATGTCTAGACTACCCCGCTAGTTTGAACTAGCGGGGTAATGTAGGCATACCGCAATTGCAAATGAAGCCCGGGATTTGAATTTCCCGGGCTTCATTTGCATAAGCGGGGAGC